CCAGACAAAAAAAAGCTAGAGGAATTTATCACCATCAAGCCAGTATTACAGGAAATATTGGAGGGACTTCTTTAAAAAGAAAAAAAGAAATGTATCAAAAACAGGAATAAAGATGTTTTACTAGGGATTTTGGGAAACATGGCGGAGAAACATCCTCAGATCTCTCTCCTTGAAACAACAAGCTGAATATCTAAAACTGAACAAAAAAACACCCAAACTGTACACCAGCATGTCTGAGCATGGGATCTGCACATAAGAACTACCACAGGTCAGAACCCCAGGTTTTGGGTGGTAGACTGAGAGAAATAAAGAAGCTGCCTCTCGCAGCCTCCAGAGCTCCTTGCAAGAGGAGAGGGAGCAGTGAAGGTGCAGCAACTTCCCTGAACAGCTATGCCTGGAAGTGCCATCACTTCTATGCAGCCAGCAGCAGGGCCCAGTCATCAGGGCAGAAAACAGAGAAGCAGGACGGGACCACAGAGAAACAACAGTTGATTTTTACCAATCCCAGTTGCAAAACTGAGGCTGAGCAGCAGCTTAATTTCTAGCCATGTGATATTTTAGGTTTAGTAGGTTATTCCTGCACATAATGAACTTATGATTTTTTTATTGTATTCCAGAACTTTATATTAGTATTAATTCTCCTCAATTTCTTAAAATGCTTTAAACAGATTTTGACAACTATTTAACATTTTTCATAAGTGTTTCTTATAATGTAAAATCTCTTAAATGTCCACAAATTTAAATTTCTTCTTGGAGGACAAGGAAAATTTGTTCTTTCAATCTAGATCAATAAAATAATGAGGTTATCATATAGATGTCACCACTGCCAATCATCTCCGCATCAGCAGAATTATAAAAAAGATTAAAATAACTCATTCTCCTCCCTTTTAAAGCAGACACTGAGATGTGGACCAAGGATATGTACACAGCATCTAGAAGAACATTATCTGTACTGCTCTTAGTATGTTAAAGAAAGAGTCATGTGGCACAGTAAGTTGTTTGGGAAAAGCATCTTCATCTTAGTGAATGCATTATTCTTGATATTTTTAAAACAATATATATGTATATATATAAAGTGAGAACTCTTTTTGTTCTTCTTTTTCCCATTGCATATTCTTCCAAAAGAACTGTTATCATTATCAATTTTTTTACACGCATAAACTAATCAATATTTTCATGTGATTAAATGTTTTACAAAAGGTTTTATCAAATATATGTATATATGTGTATGTATATATATAATTTGCTATTTCTTGCTTAAGGCTTGAGCACCTATCAAACTGTAGAATGCTCCACAAGATCTTAACTTATTTAACTATTTACATACTGATGGACACTTAGTTTTTTTTTAATCTTATTGAAAACATTGCTGAAGTAAAAAATTTTATTCAAGTCTCGTGTTTGTGAATAAGCATCAGAGTATGAATCTAGAGCAGTGCTAAGAATTGAAATATCTGGGTGAAAGAAAGAGCATGCACATTTTAAGTTGACATATACAGCAAGATAGATGATATAATACTATACAATTCTATTTTAGGTTACAATATCTAGAATAAGAAAATGTACACTGTCTAAACATTTTTCAAGCTTTCTGAGTTTTACAAGGTGGTAAGCTCTCCCTCCTTTCCTGAATCACCTTTGGTGGTGCAAATGATTGGCTTTAAGGTAACAATCTCATCGTCACTGATCCTTTTATTATTTTCTTTGAAGAAAGAGTCGAATTAGTCCCTGGCGAATCTGCTTGGCCCTAACACTGTAGATGATGGGATTGAGCACAGGAGGCACCAGAAGATAGACGTTGGCCAGGAGCAGACGGACAGCAGGCCCAGTGTGCTTCATGAAGCGATGTACCAGAGCCACGCTGATCATGGGCACATAGTACACAAGGACTGCACAGATGTGTGAAACGCATGTGTTGAGGGCCTTCCGCTGCTCCTCCCCAGACGTAATGCCCAGCACTGTGTAGAGAATCAGCACATAAGAGATGATGATGAGCAGCGAATCCAGACCGAAAGTGGAAGTAACGATGCAGAGCCCCAGAATGCTGTTGAGACGAGTGTCCGCACAGGGCAGTTGGATTAGATCAGAGTGGAGACAATAGGAGTGGGAGAGGATGTTGTGGCCACAGAAGGGCAGACGCTTTAGAAGAAATGGCAGTGGGAGCATGAGCATCACACTCTTTAGTCCAAGTGCAGCACCAGTACCGGCAATACGGGGCGGGGTCAAGATGGCAGTGTACCGCAATGGGTTGTAGATGGCCACAAAGCGGTCCACAGACATGGCCAACAGAACTCCTGATTCCATGATAGAAAATGAATGTATGGAGAACATCTGCAAAAGACAGGCTTCAAAGCATATTTCATTGGTACCAAAAAGGAAGATGCCCAGCACTGTGGGCAGTGTAGAAGCAGACACACCAAGCTCTGCACAGGCCAGCATAGCTAGGAATAGGTGCATCGGCTGGTGCAGAGAGCTGTTTTTCTTGATCACTGCTAGTATCAAGGTATTCCCCACAAGGGCCACAAGATAGATGGAGCAGAATGGGAAAATAAGCCAAGGGTACAGGGCCTCCAGACCAGGGAGACCAGTCAGCAGAAAATATTTTGGGGTGAATTGACTGCTGTTGAACATTTTCTTATGTCTGGAATCGGGTGACTTTGACCTAGGCAGGTGCCAGGGATACAACCTGGAGTGAGACACATAATGGTTAATAGACCTACAAATATCCGAGAAGGACTCACAAATATCTCTGCCTAGTACAAGCTGCCAATTTATATCCCTCTTCTTATCTGTAATCAATTCCATTTGGTCTTCAGCACTAAACAAAAATGTTGAGTCATGACTTGCAAATAGGCATATCTCCAGAATAAGGATATCTAGTAGGAAACTAATCTCCATACTGGTTTCACTGTGTATATTTGGTAGGAATTGAACGTTTCTCATTTCTCTATCAAGAGATGTTATTGTGGGAAGAAAAAAAAAATGGTGTAGTGATAGAGGTTCTGTTCATCCCCTCTGGAGACCAAATCAAATTGTGAATGGAAACAAGGAGCAGCAGCAAGGAAAAATCGCTGGGA